AAATTTCTTTTTCAAGTTCAATTAGTATAAAATTCAGGAAAAATATTCAGTTAGGCTTCCGCTTATCCAAATCCGAATTGCCGGGCCTTACGCTTGACCCCTGCCATCAGATTTTGTACAGCCACCTTGTCCACCTTCTTCGCCGCAGAAAGCCAGTTTGCCTTGAACTGCTGCCCGCCCTTAGCAGTTTTTTTTTTGGTCTTCTTTAGGTTCCGCTTGACAATAGCACAGTATTTCTCAATTGGGCGGAGCTCTGGCGTGTTGGGAGGGTTCTTGTCCTTGGGAACCACCTGCACGTTGTTGGCGGCGTACCACTCCATGGCCTTTTTACCGTAATGGCAAGATGCCAAATCCGGCCAAAACAGTACGGAACAACCGTGTTTCTTCAGGAAAGGCAGCAGACGTTTATTCAAACACTCTTTCACGTAAATTTCTTGGTTGACAGTCCCGGAAGTTATGAAAATGCTGCTTTTCAAGCCACAGGTACAGATGGCTTGCCAAACCAGATATTTCTTTGCGAACTTTGACAGTTTCATGTGCTTGAAAACATCTGCTACCTTTCCCCTTCCTTTTGCCGTATAAAACTCCTGTCCCGGAAGCTGCTTGTAGTCGGCTTTGACGTAGGTTTCGTCGTCCATTACCACGCAGTCAAACTTCGTCAGCATCGTCGTGTACAGCCTCCGGGATCGCGCTTTGGCCGTCGTATTTTGTTTATCATCGCGATTTGGAGTCACTACCTTCTTGTAAGTCGATAGTCCGGCTCGTTTTTTGGCTCGATGCACGATTGTAGACGATACACCCAGCTTATTTGCGGCATCTCGGAGAGAGAGGTTAGGGTTTCGCTTGAAACTACCGGCAACTCTCTTTGTCGTCTCAGCGGCTTCCGGTTTTCGATTTCCCCCCGATCCAGACTTCCTGGCTGTCGACAAACGTTCCCCAAAAACTTTAATTACATTTGTAACGGTTGATTTGGCAACTTTTAGCGATTTTGCCAACTTTGCGTGCGAGTAGCTCGGATTTTCGCGATGCGCGAGCAAAATTTTGATACGCTGCTCTTCTTGCTTGGACGGCATTTTGACAACTGAAGAGTGAATTCCAAAATCAAAATAGGAGCAACATTCTACACACAAATGCAAAATTGAAAGAAATACGTCAAGTTGATATTGACCAAATTTTGACCGTATCACCCTTTAGAGTTGATAGTTCCGTTAGAGTACGGCAGTGTAAAGATTGTATATAGATATTAGACAAGCGAGCTAGGACAACTTTTAAGGAAGGTACAAATCGGTTTTTTCGTCTCTCTTTACCAAACTCCCCCTTTGGAGAGGGATGGCGAGGGGTGTGTCCCCCCGCCACCACTGGCTTCATGTAAGATTTTCAAATCGTGTCAAACATTGGCTTCTGGCCTCTAGACGGTCCTGGGATATCGAAAATACCCACATTGATGGGTATTTGACAGTGTTTCCCACTTTTTCTTAAACTGGAAGCCGCCATATTGGATTGCAAAATGACGTCGAATATCAATTTTCAGCATCTAGACATCCAGAACTATCCACTTTTTCTGAAATTGGAAACCGTCAGCTTGGATTTCAAAATGGCGTAGGATATCGATTGTCAGCCTCCAGACGTAACCCTAATTAAAAAATACCCATGTTGATGGGTATTTGACAGTATTTCCTATTTTTCTGAAATTGGAAGCCACCATCCTGTGTTTCAAAATGCCGGCGGATATCGATTTGTATTCTTTAGACGTCATCCCGATTCCAAAAATACCTATATTGATGGGTACTGGACAGTATTATCCGCATTTTCTCGAACAGGAAGCCCCATCTTGGATTTCAAAATAGTGTCGCATATCTATTTCCAAACCCTAGATGACATGCCAATTCTAAAAAATACCTATATTGATAGGTATTTGGCTCTATTTCCCACTTTTTCTGAAATAGGAAGCCACTATCTCGGATTTCAAAATGGCGTCGGAATTAAATTTTCATTCTCTAAAGTGTCCACGATGAAATTGCCACACACAAAATTGATTCGCAAAATTCGAGTTTTCATCCGATTGCCATCAAATTTTCAGGGATTGAGAAATAACTATTAAACTTCATTTTACCATTTTACTCGTATTTCATTTACAGTCCATACGCAAATGCCCGCACCTTGGCCTTAACCCCGGCCATAAGATTCTGCACAACCTGTGAATCAACCGTTTTTTGCATGTAAACCCATACTTTCTTCAGTTCCTCGACTGTCTTCACTACCTTAGGTCGTTTAAGAAGGTGCTGCTTCATAATCGCCCAGTACTTCTCGATGGGGCGGAGCTCCGGAGTGTTGGGAGGGTTGAACATTTTCGGCACGAAATTGACCTTATTGTCCGCATACCACTTCAGCACGTCCTTGGAGTAGTGGCATGAGGCCAAATCCGGCCAGAAGATTGTTGGGACGTTGTGGGCCTTCAGGAGAGGAAGCAGCCGCTTCTGGAGGCACTCTTTTATGTACACCTGTCCGTTCATCGTGTCCTGGGTCACGAAAGGTGCACTCCGCTTCCCGCACGTGCAGATGGCTTGCCAAACCAGGAATTTCTTCGCAAATTTGGACATCTTTTGAGTGCGGACATGCTCCGGAACGCTGAACTTATCCTTGGCCGTGAAAAACAGGTTGCCGGGGATCTGTTTGAAGTCGGCCTTCACATATGTTTCGTCGTCCATGATGCAGCATTCAACTTTCGTCAGCATGTTGAGGTACAACTTCCTGGCACGGGTTTTGGCGGACTTGTTCTGCTTTTCGTCGCGATTAGGGGCCTTTTGTACCTTGCACGTTCGAAGCCCAGCCTTAGTTTTGGCCTTCTGGACAAAACTTCGGCTTAGGTGCAGCTTCTCACCCACATCCCTAACGGAGGCGTTCGGATTTCGGTTGAAGGCCCCAACTACGCGGTTGTGATTTTTGGTGTTGTACGGAATACTTTTTCCTTCACTTCTGGGCTTCCGATCGGTGGTCAACCGTTCCTCGAACCGCTTAATCACTCGTGACACCATGGAATTCGCGATTCCCAACGTTTTAGCGATGGAACGATGCGAGAGATCCTTGTTCTCGTGATGAATGCGCAAGATTTTATCACGCACGAGCTGTTCTTTCGACTCCATTTCCGCGAGTTTTGATCACAGGACTTTAAAACTTGCAGGATGTAAATAATGCACTATGAACTAAATCCACCCAAATTTTCATTAAATTCTACCCAACGGTTAAAAAGTTAGAACAATTTCATAGTGTGGCAATTTCATCGTGGACACCCTTTATTTGCATTGGGCGATCTTGAGGCAAGAATCGATCTCAGTGAATCGATTCATTTTTTTTTGAAAATAAACGATTCACCGATTTAATCAATAATTTTGAATCGATATTTTGAATCGATTAATTTATCAAAATGGCACAACAATTTTTCAAATATAACGGAGCATCGGAAAGTTGGTGCAAATTAAGCCAAGTTCAGTCTAGAGTTGATATTACGTTACATAAGCTATCTTGTCATTTAGTGTGATGATTGATATTATTTAGAAATAAATTGTGCAGTATGTACGCAGTAAATGTTGTGAGTGTAACATACATCACTGCTGGTCGTAAAAATAGGTGCTGGCAAAATAACAGCGAAATTTTAGATTATGTTCATTCAACTTCATTTTATTCGACTTTAAAGTTAAACATTTGACAGTGTAATAAAAATTAACTAATTTCACGAGAAAACTCAAATTTAAAACATTAAATGGCTCACTCATTAGAATCAAATATAAAATATGCCTGGTCAGTTAAATATGTGTGTTGCATAAAACTATAGTATAGAAAGCTTGAAAATAATCGTATAAATTTTATACGACTAATGACGCTTAGTAACCACTGTACCCTCTATTGTTAAGTAGAACCTTGTTCAATATTCTTGGCACTGACTCAACCAAGCACTGACAAGTTTCCTTTGGTATGGCATACCACTCTTTTTGAACTGTGGTCCAAAGTTCATCCTTATTTGAAAATGCATAAATTTTCGATGGGGTTGATTTCAGGAGATTGGCTAGGCCATGAAATAACCGTGAAAATAACCGACACTTTGTTTGCACGAAACCATTCCTTTATACACTTAAATTTTTTCGCCGAGATTCCAACTGCCGAGTAGTTCTGCAAATTATTTAACAATTGCCGAGACTCAGCTTACAAATAACTGTTTCCTGAAATATCAGCTAACAAACAGATATTTTGCAGAGATATCAGCAAAAGTAAATGCCGAGGTAATCGGCTGTTGGAGATTTTACCGAGCTAGATTAAGTGTGTACATACTTAGAAGTGTGTTTTGGATCGTTGTCTTGCTGAAAATGCCATAAAGGGTGATACAGTCAAAATTTGGTCAAGGGAAAACGCGTGTAAATCGGTAAAATCGTTTATTTAAAAAATCAAATTAAATTTCTTTTTCTAGTTCAATTAGTATAAAATTCAGGAAAAATATTCAGTTAGGCTTCCGCTTTTCCAAATCCGAATTGCCGGGCCTTACGCTTGACCCCTGCCATCAGATTTTGTACAGCCACCTTGTCCACCTTCTTCGCCGCAGAAAGCCAGTTTGCCTTGAACTGCTGCTCGCCCTTAGCAGTTTTTTTGGTCTTCTTTAGGTTCCGCTTGACAATAGCCCAGTATTTCTCAATTGGGCGGAGCTCTGGCGTGTTGGGAGGGTTCTTGTCCTTGGGAACCACCTGCACGTTGTTGGCGGCGTACCACTCCATGGCCTTTTTACCGTAATGGCAAGATGCCAAATCCGGCCAAAACAGTACGGAACAACTGTGTTTCTTCAGGAAAGGCAGCAGACGTTTATTCAAACACTCTTTCACGTAAATTTCTTGGTTGACAGTCCCGGAAGCTATGAAAATGCTGCTTTTCAAGCCACAGGTACAGATGGCTTGCCAAACCAGATATTTCTTTGCGAACTTTGACAGTTTGATGTGCTTGAAAACATCTGCTACCTTTCCCCTTCCTTTTGCCGTATAAAACTCCTGTCCCGGAGGCTGCTTGTAGACGGCTTTGACGTAGGTTTCGTCGTCCATTACCACGCAGTCAAACTTCGTCAGCATCGTCGTGTACAGCCTCCGGGATCGCGCTTTGGCCGTTGTATTTTGTTTATCATCGCGATTTGGAGTCACTACCTTCTTGTAAGTCGATAGTCCGGCTCGTTTTTTGGCTCGATGCACGGTTGTAGACGATACACCCAGCTTATTTGCGGCATCTCGGAGAGAGAGGTTAGGGTTTCGCTTGAAACTACCGGCAGCTCTCTTTGTCGTCTCAGCGGCTTCCGGTTTTCGATTTTCCCCCGATCCAGACTTCCTGGCTGTCGACAAACGTTCCCCAAACACTTTAATTACATTTGTAACGGTTGATTTGGCAACTTTTAGCGATTTTGCCAACTTTGCGTGCGAGTAGCTCGGATTTTCGCGATGCGCGAGCAAAATTTTGATACGCTGCTCTTCTTGCTTGGACGGCATTTTGACAACTGAAGAGTGAATTCCAAAATCAAAATAGGAGCAACATTCTACACACACACACCTTTAAAATGAGGGGTGTTCAGGTTTTTTAAATGCAAAATTGAAAGAAATACGTCAAGTTGATATTGACCAAATTTTGACCGTATCACCCTTTATAAGAGGAATCCCAAGTAACATTTCTGGTTTTATGAGGGTTCTGTAGACAATGATTTAGATTTGTAGAGTGCTTTAAAACCTCGATAAAACTAGCAATGTTGCTTGGGATGTTCTCTTCTGCATAAGGGAGCATAACCATAGAGGTAACTCTAAGACCAGAAGATCCCGAAGAAACGGACTCAACTTTTTGGCTCAGCTCTGGTACTATCTTCGGTCCCAAGCTAATTGATGCACCCCTCGAAACATAGGAAAATTCGCGAACCCCTCATTTTATCTGTCACACTTTCATAGCGAATCAAAACAAACATAGTGTAGTACAGGAATGTACACTAGTACATGTTTATATGTTTGTACATATGTAGATTAATAACTTTCTTTACCAGTTCGTCATGAATATCCCACAGGCACAGGTTGGTTTTGGTGGGGGGGACAGATGTGTGCAATAATCGTATACTCTTTCGGTACTATAGATCTGCCCAGACACAATTTTAACTGCCGGAACGTGAGCTGAAGGCTACAGGTACATGTCAATATTAAATTGCAAATGCAAATGTACTGAATTTTGTTGTTGTTGAATCGAAACAAAAATCGAATGAAAAAGATCGATCCAGTCGATTTTTGTGGTGTTTGAGATCGATTCAAAAAATCGATTAATCGATCCAAAAGAACCGATATTTTGTGTTTCGATCCAAGATCGCCCATTGCTAGGTACTATGCAGACCCCTAAGACCAAACCTGAACCGTTTCCATTGAATTCAACACCCGATGATCCTTTTGGAGCTCTTTCAAATAGCGAATTCGTTTATTATGCGAAACCGAACTTTTTGTCAGTGCGAACCTCAACCTGAGCTAGGTTTTAAAAACAAACGAGCAAACTGACGTTTGTCAGAAAACAAGCAGACCCAATCTGCCAATCATTCTGAAACCCCCAATTGAAGGCAAGCTCGACCAAAATGAACGAAAATCCAGAAAAATTACATGATCAATCCTAAAAAATTACAACATCGTGGCAGCTGTTTCAGTTCTTCTGACGACGGAGAAACTTGGCCAAAGTGTTCAAAGTGCTTGTAGTTGTTTCATGAATGTAAGGATTCACGAACAGGGCCCAACGAAGTCACTTTCAATTGAAAATCGTCAAGTGACGACGAAGCTGTCAACCATCACTTTCAATTGAAAGTCATTCTATCTTCTCTTCGAGTATATCCCCTTCAACATCAACAGAACCTCTTTAGATCAGTTTTCGTGCTGTTTGTATTGGCTTGATTCTTGTTCATTTCGTCTTCTATTGTCAAACGAGCTTACTTTCGCATTGAAGCGAAGCTATTCGATTAAAATTCGCACTGTTTTCCTATTGATTGTTCACTCGGTTAATTTAAGCGCATGCGCAAAAGATCTGTGAACGTGGATGTCGAATTTATCATTGTCGGGTGGTTTGTTTACCCATCAATATGGGTATTTTTGAAATCGGGGTGACGTCTAGAGTCCGGAAAACAATATGTGACGCCATTTTAAAATTCAATATGGTGGCTTCCAGTTAAAAAAAAAGTGGGAAATACTGATGCCGACCCATCAATATGGGTATTTGTGGAATCGCGGTGAAGTTTAGAGGTCGAAAGTTGATATGCGACGCCATTTTGAAATTCAAGATGAAGGCTTACAGTTTAAGAAAAAGTGGGTATTACTGTCAAATACCCATCAATATCGATATTTTTGGAAATAAGATGCTGTCTAAATATGTTGAGTGGTTGCAGCTTGTGGCTGCAGTGTGGAGGCGAGCACACAACTCGGACAAAGCACTCACGTGCTCTCTCGATGAAGATGGGTTATGATAGCTATGCCCATCCAACAGAAGAAGCACAGGGTTATCGAGCGTGTGTGCTTTACGAAATGCTCGAACCAAGTGTTGAAATCCTTCACCGTCATCCAACCGTACGAGTTGCAAACAAATATTGTGTCCGGAGGAGCACCATTCTTCAGGTTGTCCGTCAATCGAGCCCTGGGGCAGATCAGCATTGGCGGAAGTATCTGTCCAGAAGCTGATACGCAGATGCATGCTGTGAACAGTAGTCCTCTCTTCGCAGAAATCATTCATCCTACTTGACGTCGGCTTTTCAAGGCAAACACCTTAGATATTTTCGTTTGAACCTAACAAAAATATAGTAAATGAAGGAATGTGAATACTCAGCTCATGGAAATAAATATCGCACAACTTACGGTAACTACAGATGTTTCGTCAACGTTGAAAGTCCTGATTGCACTAAATTTGGTTCCTCCCAACTCGCGAATCAAAACATCGAAAACTCATTGACCGCTACCCCGTTGAAGCCTTGCAAACGTGTCGCAGAGGTTATCTCAGGAGCTAGCGTCTGTCTCGGAATATTATGGTCCTTTGCCGTTCGTTTTGTGGATGTTCCGGCTCGTTTGATAGTGGCCATGTCCGCTTTTAAGGCCATTTCCGACCAATTTTGCCTCCCGGATGTTTTTATATGTTCGCACCATCACTGTAAATAAGAACTGTCGTAGGTAAACAACGTAGCTGTCAAGCCAGCTGAGAGACATTTGAGGTTAGATGATGAAATAGACCATGATCATTTCGCCTCTAATCAGCAAAAAATGCAAAACACGTTATTTTAGTAATTATAGTAATAAAGCAAAATGAAAAGGGTGCCAAATTTGAGGGCTGTTGTCGAAAGAATGTTCCAGTTCAAAATAAAAGCAGATACACACATTAAAACGCTTGTGAAAGCTTATTTCGTGGCGCTCCTACATTATAATTATTTCACCACTTGAGAATCAAGTATCATTTCTCAGTCAATTTATTTACATATTTTGAAACTAGGAGATGAACCAGCCTGCGGCTGAAAATCTTCTAAATAAACAAAAAAAATAAATACATATTTTGAATAAATAATGAATAGTTTTATATAAAAATAGATCTTTCAGTAAGAACAGAAGTGTTTTGCATTTCTAATTCAATTCAAGATTGCATAGTTTTCATAAAACTATGGGTGCTCATTTCGCAAAAAATCAAATCGGGCGTTTGCCTGGAGTCCATTTTGGGCTGTTTTCCTCCTGTTCTACCCTACATGAATGGCGAGTAGTTCTGTTCACCCACCGCTATTTGGGTGTTTACATCTGTGCTGGTGCGCTGGTACTAGTGAACTAAAGCTCCCAGGTAACAATTTGATGCTCAACAAGTGTTGCTCAATCGATTTTAATTCAGCCTTAGTTTGAATAACTGTTGTACATAGACCACTCCAAGAAACAATTCAAGCTGAACAGTAAGAACAGAAGCTGATTATTGGCTGATTTGAGGTGTACAAAGCTGATTAACAGCAGGCTGAATATATAGTTGATTAGTAGTGCATGAAGCTAATTGTATCCCCATAATTCAACCTCAATAAGTAAGCTGATCTAAAGATTGGACAAACCTTATTTTAGCTTAACACTACTCCAAAAATCAGCAATGCACTACAAATATTTTTAATAATATGATTTGTTAAAAGTAGTTAGTGTCACTCGTTACTTTTTTGGCATTTTAGTTCTTCTAAATTCGCTGCCTACCTTTCTAGTCCCAAGCAGCGGAAACAGTAGAGACAAGGTAGAGGAGCTTTTTGGAATTAGCTCCAGGTAGAAGTGGGCTACAACGACGCCGGAAGTATTAACATTTGTATCAGCTTTTGGCCTTCGACCTTTTGTCCTACAACCCTTGCGAATTCCAAAAAGTTCTAATTTCTAATTTCGACTGTCCATTGTTTCTATTTCAAATTATGGATTGTGTTTTATTTGTCTTTGGAAACTTTTGCACGTTCGAGGATATTAATTGATAAATTAAGTGACATTCTTTTAAAAATTTGTCGAACCTCTTAACGGAATCCCTATATGAAGAGCTTTGAGTGTGTTGGTTTATTTCCTTTAAATTCCGTTATAATTGCATATCTTTTGACAGATACACGTATTTCGTCTAGTCTGCAAGTAGTAGACGAAATACGCGTATCTGTCAAAATATAAGCAATTATAACGGTATTTAAGGAAAATAAACCAACACACTCAAAGCTCTTCATAAGTGACATTGTTATGTTCAATAAAGTACATACCTTCTGGATTGGAACCTTTATCGAAATGACGAGGTTCAGCAATGAAATTCTCATTGTTCATAGCATCTTAAACTGAAAACTCTTGATGCTAGTCCATGCCAATAATAGCAACACATTTCCAGAACTCATATCATCCAATATATTCAATAACATTCTCCGCCTCCGTCGTTCACAATCTTCGGACGCAGTCAACCCGAAACCACTTCAGTCGTCTCCTTGTTTGCTTCGAAACCGATCAATCCATGTTACCTGTGATTCGCATGTTTCAACGCAACCGGTTGCAACAAGGCATTAAATTGATTGATTTATTAT